CAACTACAACTAAAACTACAGCTACAACTACGACATTACGACTACAACTACGTCATCTACAGATGCAACCACACTACAACTACAACTGCAACTGCAACTGTTCTAGTACAGTTGCACTATGCTCTACACCTCGCTACATCCAGTAGTTGTGGTTGAGGTGACCACTGCAGCCACTCCAAAAAGCACAACTCCAACCACCTTTTGGTCCATCAATGGATTCGCTTTGCCATCCATGCATCACAACAACTCACCTCTCCTATAGTGTGATATCTTTAAAACTTCGGCCAACGCCTTGAGCGGTACTACTGGCACTGACAAAAAATTAACAAAACCATATACAAAATCTTTCAAAAGAAATCATTTAGAATCTTAAAACAAATCATCAAAAATCAAAAGCAAATCTTAAATAATCAAAAAACAACTAGACGACGGTTTGCCCGAGAGCGAAAAAGATGTTTTTCAAGCAGCTCTGAGGATGGTAGTCGTAAAAGATAGTCGGTGAATGGTTGGTTTATTTTTTTTAGCTATGGAGGGATAAGGTGTGAAAAGTAAGATTGATTAAGAAGAGGATATTTGGTAAAGGGCATCAGATGACACGTGTCTTGCAACCACAGAGAGACATAGATAGATAGAGAGAGAGAGAGGGAGACGGAGAGAGAGAAAGAGGGAGAGGGTGAGAGAGAGAGAGAAAGAGAGAGAGAGAGAGAAAGAGAGAGAGAGAGAGAGAAGGAAAGGGAGATAGAAAGAAAACATGGAGAAATATAATGTGAGCAACAAAGGTGCACAGGAGGCTCGGTACCATGATGCTGCGAATGACATGCGTTATCTCATTTTACTATGGTAATTCCTACACACACACATTGCCGAAAAAGCTCAGTACCATCATTCCTCGGATGTGAAGAAACGCGACGCTCTTATACAGAGACGCTTTTACACACTGACAGAAGCTTTTACACACAGACGCTTTTACACACAGACACTTTTACACACAGACTCCTTTACACACAGACGCTTTTACACACAGACCATTTTACACACAGACAATTTTTACACACAGACCATTTTACACACAGAAGCTTTTACACACAGAAGCTTTTACACACAGACTCCTTTACACACAGACGCTTTTACACACAGACTCCTTTACACACAGACACTTTTACACACAGACTCCTTTACACACAGACGCTTTTACACAACCACACTTTTACACACAGACCATTTTACACACACAGACTCCTTTACACACAGAAGCTTTTACACACAGACGCTTTTGCGCACAGCCGCTTTTACACACAGAGGCTTTTACACACAGACTCCTTTACACACAGGCGCTTTTACACACAGAGGCTTTTACCCACAGACTCCTTTACACACAGACGCTTTTACACACAGACACTTTTACACACAGACCATTTTACACACAGACACTTTTACACACAGAAGCTTTTAAACACAGAAGCTTTTACACACAGAAGCTTTTACACACAGACTCCTTTACACACAGACACTTTTACACACAGACTCCTTTACACACAGACGCTTTTACACACAGACACTTTTACACACAGACCATTTTAATCCATTTTACACACAGACACTTTTACACACAGAAGCTTCTAAACACAGAAGCTTTTACACACAGAAGCTTTTACACACAGAGGCTTTTACACAGACTCCTTTACACACAGACGCTTTTACACACAGACTCCTTTACACACAGACGCTTTTACACACAGACACTTTTACACACAGACCATTTTACACACAGACACTTTTACACACAGAAGCTTTTAAACACAGATGCTTTTACACGCAGAAGCTTTTACACACAGACGCTTTTGCACACAGACGCTTTTACACACAGACGCTTTTACACACAGACTCCTTTACACACAGACGCTTTTACACACAGACACTTTTACACACAGACTCCTTTACACACAGACACTTTTACACACAGACGCTTTTACACACAGACACTTTTACACACAGACTCCTTTACACACAGACGCTTCTGCACACAGACGCTTTTACACACAGATTTACACACAGACACTTTTACACACAGACTTTTTTACACACAGACACTTTTACACACAGCCGCTTTTACACGCAGACGCTTTTACACGCAGATGCTTTTGCACAGAAAAGCTTTTACACACAGACGCTTTTACACACAGAAAACTTTACACACAGACGCTTTTACACAGAGGCTTTTTAAACACAGAAGCTTTTACACACAGAAGCTTTTACAAACAGAGACCGGACCCGTGAAATCGCAATTTTTCCCCAGTTTTTGACCTTCAACGTCCATTTCGTGCGAAAGGGTCGCGATGAACAAAGTAAAATCGTAATTTTTCCTCAGTTTTTGATGTTCAACGTCCATTTCGTGCGAAAGGGTTGCCCGTGACACCTCAAAATCACAATTTTACCTCAGTTTTTGACGTCCAACGTCCATTTCGTGCGAAAGGGTTGCGGCGGGACAAGTTAAATCGCAATTTTACCTCAGTTTTTGACGTCCAACGTCCATTTCGTGTGAAAGGGTTGCGGCGGGACAACTCAAAGTCGCAATTTTCCCTCAGTTTTTGACGTCCAACGTCCATTTCGTGTGAAAGGGTTGCATTTGACTAAGTTAAATCGCAATTTTCCCTCAGTTTTTGACGTCCAACGCCCATTTCGTGCGAAAGGGTTGCGTTTCGTGGCACTCCGGCGGCACCGCCCCGGCCTTAAGAGAGAGATAGAAAGAAGAGCGAGAGGAGATGTGCAGATGTGAAGGTGTGAAGATGTAGATCTGCAGATGTGAGGGTGTGAAGATGTAGATCTGCAGGTGTGAGGGTGTGAAGATGTAGATCAGCAGATGTGAGGGTGTGAAGATGTAGATCTGCAGATGTGAGGGTTTGAAGATGTAGATCAGCAGATGTGATGGTGTGAAGATGTAGATCAGCAGATGTGAAGGTGTGAAGATGTAGATCAGCAGATGTGAGGGTGTGAAGATGTAGATCAGCAGATGTGAGGGTGTGAAGATGTAGATCAGCAGATGTGAAGGTGTGAAGATGTAGATCAGCAGATGTGAGGGTGTGAAGATGTATTACAACGGCTGCTTTTTTACGAAGAACCCTTCGCAGGCGCTCTCGGGAAAAACATTTTTTTGCCCAACTTCGAACTCTCAACTCTATAAGAGACTTCCTTGTCAAGATCTCTGCGCAAGATCTCCTTGACTATCGAAATGAGCTCCGCGCCACGACCTGAGCGATCTGACAAGCCCGAAGTGACGAGAGGGTTGCGCGAGCCATCTCAAAATGAGCACCGCGCCACAACTAGAACGATCGGACACGCCCAAAGTGACGAGACGGTTGCGCGAGCCGCGAGCCATTTCAAATGAGTACCGCGCGACAACGAGAGCGATCTGACAGGCCCAAAGTGACGAGAGGGTTGCGTGAGCGATTTCGCGAGAGCGATCTGACAGGCCCAAAGTGACGAGACGGTTGCGCAGGCGATCTCAAAATTCGCACTGTGCCACCACGAGAGCGATCTGACACGCGCACAGTGACGAGAGGGCCGCGTGAGCACATCTTAGATTTTCACAAAACATTGCGCGCACCAGGAAAAATAGACATTGAAAAAGTCAACAACGACGTTTTACCAAGATCTCAGCCACTTTTTTTGGTTGAGGTCTACAAAGTACTGCGCCTGCTACGAAAAATGAGCCCGAGGCATCCGAAGTCCTGCGCCTGCCATGCGGAACCATCATCATGTCCCAAGTCAAATTCGATGACAGCTTCAAAAAGGGGCTTTTTTCGACCCTTCCTAAACGTCGTCCAAGTAAATACACCAAATACTGCACCTGCCACACAAAACGGCCTCCAAAAGCATTTCTCATGTCGAACCACGCTTGCCCACGCCTTCAGCGACGTGCAAAAAGCGCCACGCTTGCCACGCGGATGAAAAAGTGTCCGACATCCTGCACCTGTCACGCAACGCAACATGTCAGACTTCAAAATGTGCCGAGAGTGCCACGACTGCCACACGAAATGGACCTAGCCCAAAAAACGAGCACGGTGAGCTAATAAAACGAGCCCTTCGAAAGAAAAGTCCGCGAGCCGCCGTTTCGCGCGAGACTTCCTTCGAAAACAGAAGATGGGGGAGCTTTTTGTGCTGTAAGGGTCACCAAATTTGCCGGACACGCCGGATACCACCTCGACCGAACACCGGGCCCTAACCCTGACCGTAAGAACCCCTCAGTGCGGCCACACTGTTTAGGGAACAACACAACCACCACAAACCACACAACCACACACCGCAAACCACAACCGTAACCACAACCGCAACCACAACCACCACAACCAACCACAACCAACCACAACCAACCACAACCAACCACAACCAACCACAACCAACCGCAACCAACCACAACCAACCACAACCAACCACAACCAACCACAACCAACCACAACCATACCAACCACAAGCACAAGCACAACTACCACAACCACTGCCACAACCACTACCACTACCACAACCGCAACCACAACCACAACCACAGCCACCACACCCACAGCCACAATCACCACAACCACAACCACAACCACAACCACCACAGCCACAACCATCACAACCTACAACCACCACAACCTCCGCCACAGCCACAGCCAATAGGTCCAACAATAGTCATCGTATCAATTTTCCAGGAGAAAAAGTAAGCATACTCATGCTAATAACCGTCATCACCGCTGTCATCATTGCCATCATCACCATCATCACCGTCATCTTCCTCTTTTTCATCATCATCAACCTGATCTTCATCAATGCATTATCACCGTCATCAACATCATCGCTGGTGCCCTCACCGCTGTCATAACCATGGCCATCATCGGCAAGCTGGTGCGGTTGCCTCGGCTGCTTGTGCTGTTGACACACATTGAGCCAAGATATTTTCCTTATTCCCAAGTTGCGTTGCTTCAGTTCCTTGCCCTCTGTTCATGACACGCCTGCGCAAGGACCCCCAAGACCGAAAGCGAAGTTTCACGACTTCACTTCAAGGGTCTGGTGCGTAACTGTGCTGCTGCTGCTAGCCAGAACGAAAAGGAGCGACCGAATTTGAAAGTATTTCAGGAGAGGAGTGCTCGGAGGGTTCGGGGATGTTTTCTCATCACCCATGTCGGTGGGCAAATATGTGCAAAGGTAGTAGCAAGTTTTGTCGGCCTGTGTCTCGGGGTATTTTGTCCCAACGGTTCGCTAGTGGGTTTGGATGTGCTGTGCTGATCAGGTGCGTAGTACAATTGTCTTGCAGTCTTCTTAGTCTTCTTGTGTCTCTTCTTCCTCCCGCCCCTTCAATATTCTAGAGGCCGACAAGAAATCATGCGGCCTTCAAGCATGTTTTTGACCGATTTACTTTTTTGAGCATACCATCTTCTTCCCGTGGCAGCCAGCTGGGGCCGCAATCTTTTTCTGAATGGCTTCGTAACTCCGCGTTGTCTTCGAACTGCACAGAAAGCGTTGCCTGCTTGGAGGATCAGCCTGGTTAGTAAGTACTTATGATATTTAGCATAGTTAGTAAGCACTTAGTAAGTCACTTAGTAAGTTGATTAAGTATACTTATAAGTAGGCTAAGTCCACATATAAGTTGACTAAGTCCATGGTGACACTTAGGCCACTTAGCTAAGTACATAGCACTTAGCCTATGTACATAGCATTTTATGTAAGTAGATATAAATTTACGCGGCAACTTAGCCCACTTATGGCTAAGTGCCTTAAGCTACTTAGCGGACTTATAGCTAAGTCGCCTAAGTAGGTTAACCTACTTAGTTCTAAGTGGGCTAAGTCACTTACGGAGCATGGAGCCTAAGTCACTTAGCCCACTTAGAGGAATATACTTTTGGAGCTAAAACAACATACATAACCTTGTCAGTCTGGGCCTGGCAAGCTTTGTTTGTGAGATGTGAGCCTTGATTTTCAGAGGCATGCGCCGGCCTGCGTGGCTTCGAGCTTTGATTTGTTCGATTATTTTTCCTTTTGTTTGCCATGATGGAGAAACAACTCGAATCAAATAGTTGTCCACACATAAACCTTTTGGCATCTTTCTTTTATATCCGGCAAATCCGACATATATAACCATGTGCTGTATTATTTTGAGGTTGCCATGCGTGCTACATGCTGCATGAAGCGTTTTTTCGTTGTGAAGAGGGGCATGCATGGCATGAAACGTTTTTCTCAATGGTTGCCGCGCGTTGGCATGAGTGGAGTCATTTGATTGTTTCATTCGCCGTTTTTTGGTTCAACACTCCTTTGCAATAGGTGCATGACGTGTTTTGAAGGCTTGTTGTTTTACGATTTTGGTGCGGGTGCCCAGGCTGCATCTTTTGCTGGCTGACGCTGTTTTGATTCCAGGCCTTATCAGAAACAGTTGGAATGAGAAGGCGTGCTGCCCACTTAATTTTTATGAATGCAGACCTTTGCTCTGTATAGAGACGTTTTCAATCAAACAGTTTGCAGTCTGCAAACGGTTTTTATTGGATTGCTTGAATTTCAATGACCATATATAGTCACATGGGAACAGCTTGGAAAATCTGATTTTTTCATGGGTCAGGCCATTTTTTTTAAATTTATCTTTGTTCAGTCCCGCTGGTCTGGCACATACGAAGCCAATGCTTTTTGCATTCATTTTCGGCACTGCCCAGGCCAGCCATGATAGCTGGTGTGGGAGATCTTCACCAAGGTGCATCGGCGTTTTGTTCGCCACCTTCCACGCCTGATCTATCCTGCAAGATCATATAGTTTCACTACATGCACTTGCATGCACTTGTTTTGATTCGAACTATACTTCAGCTTCGGCCACTTCACTTGGTGCTGGCGTGGCTCTGCTCGCCGCATTTCCTTTGCGGGCCGGCTCGCAGGGATCAGCTTTTTTGCCAGAAACATTCGTGAAGGCATGCCACATGGAGTATAATTAAAAACACGTTCTTTTTGACTTAACTTCGTTGAGCCTTTCTTGTATATAGAGCCATGGACGCTGCCTTCAAGGCCAAGCTCAAGGGGGTTTTGGACGGTGCAACTCAGAAGGGGCTTTTGAGTTCCATGGAAGTCGCCTATGCGCTGCTCAAGGAGCATGGCTACATGTACCATCTACAGGTACATTCCAAGCTCATCGGGTGTCACGAAGGCAACCGTGACGGGTTCGGCGTCGACCCGGAGCACGTCCACAGCCTGGTGGATCGCTTCCATGACATGGGCTTTGTGCCTTCTGCCGGAAGATACATGGCTGTTGAGATCCCCATGGGAACTGAAGGTGACGCCACTCGAACGTTCAATGAAAAGCTGGCAACTTCATCCAAGGATCTGCACCTTGCTTGTGATATTGTTTCTATAAAGGGATCGGTCGAAACCATCACCTTATATAACGTATTTGTTTTTTGACATTTGTGTTGCTGAGGCTGCCGCCTGTCAATGACATCTTGAAGTATGCCTCGATCAGCGGAAGCCATAGCAACATGGTCCTTCGCTTGTGGTACTATGGCTGCAAGCACGGGAATAGTCGTCTCAGCCTCGATCAGTTACGTCAGCATGACCCTGTCTACGCGGCAAGCGTGGAGAAAGGGGTAGAGTGGGACGTTGTTTCTGCTGATATCGTCAGCTGCTTTCCAAGCTTTGTGGGCCTTGCGCAATCAGCACAGAACAGCATCAGCCAAGTTAACCTTCAGGAGACGGAGCTTCAGCTGAGCAAACGAATCAAGGCTTTTGTTCGAAGTGATGGTACATGCGACAAGTATGAAGACATCGCTCCAATGATCTTGAGGTCGCAGCCACCCAACCCGGGCGTAGTACCGCATTTGATGAAGTTTATCATGAGGTTTGGCTGCTCTGGAGACATGATGGATCTCACAGAAAGCTTTGTGAGAACAAACGGTTGCTCTGGCAGATCGTTGGGCATTGAGCTGTGGGATTGCCTTTCGATGGAAGTGAAGCACCGCGACCAGGAGCAACTCATGCTCTGGCGCCAAGCGTGTTTGAAAACCATGCTGTGCCACCAGGAGAAGTTGCTTTCTCTGAGTGATCTCCGCAAAAGTTTGACTTCCAAAGACTTGTTCACCAAGATCATGAAATTCGAGTCCATGCTGGTCAAGCTCAAGGCTCATGGTGCAAAGTTCACGGACTTGACCTCATACCAGAAGTTGCAAGGCCATGGTGTCTTTGAAGTGAAAGCAGTGGTGCTGATCTTAGGCAAGAAGCCGAAGGAACCTCACGCACTCTTCTTGAAAGCTGAGACTTTAGAAGATGCTGCGTTTCAATGCCATGAGTATTGGCAGGGGTTGTCCAAAGTTACACTTCCATCTCCCTGGGCCCAGTCGCAGACCATGGCCCCGGCGGGGTCTTCGGCCGCCAAAGCATGCCCCATGACACCAGTTGAAAATTTGTGTTGATGTTCCGTGATCAACTTTCATGTGTGCCATTTTCATGATCATATACAATTAGGACATATGTATCCACCGGCGAATTGAACCCAGCCATGATGATAATTGTGTTGCCCGTTTAATGCTGATTTGTTTCTTCGGGTTTCTTGTCTATATATATATATAGTTATGTGTGTGTGTGTACGTATGTATATATAGTTCTTTTGCCTCCCGCAGGACCCGCCAGTTCGACGAGTCTGGGAAGCTGAAGGGAACTGCAAAGATTGAGGAAAAGTTCCAGCTTGGTGACAGGATCTATCGTGCCACAGACGAGCAAGAAGGAACAATCATTGTCATGCATCCGCTCCACATCGAGTTGCAAGCAGATGACGGTCACGTGTACAAGGTGACTGCAGATGACTTGCTGCACGGATCAGAGTGGAAGAAGCTGGCAGAGAAAAAGCCCATGGTCCTGGTGGCGGATCCTCAGAAGTGGCTCATGGAGATGGCCGTTGCCCGGGTCAAAGCCGAAGCGATAGTGAGGCTTCTTGAAGAAGGCGAAAAGTTTCATGGCTCTCATGCGAATCTTGAGATGTACTCCAAGCCCAAGGGTGTTTTCACTGCCGCAAACGCGGCAAAGGGAAAGCTTTGCCTGCCGCCTTTGACAAACCGGGTTGAGTTGCAGCTCGTTTCTGCGAACAAGCCGCAGCCAACGGGTTCAATTCTCATGTGCGAAGACAAGGTCCATGGGTAGCTTGGTTTAATTCATTTGGTGTACCTGTGAATGCCATGTGCGCAACATGCACCCCAAGCATCTCAGAGCATCATGTCATGTCTTTGGGTTGCTGCCCATGCAGGCAGAAGTGCAAGATCTTCTTGCTGCCACCTTCAGGGTGTGTGGTGCCGTTTTGGAACGTTAGGATCGCTAGTGACAGTGAGGAGTCGAACATGTCGATCGTTCAAAGAAACAAGATCCAGATTGCCATCAACACGGAGGCTCTAGAAGCCGGAGATGAGTTGGTTCTGTTTAGGCAAAAGGATGTAAAGCAGCCTAAGCCATTGGAACTTGTTGCGGCTCCCAAAGCACAGGGGCAGGCCAAGAAGAAGGCCAGGACAACGTAGTGGTATAGTTTTGTAAGTTTGGCGATGCGCCGATTTTGCAAGCCCCATGAATGACATCACAAGCAACATTTTTACTGCCATGTTCCTTGTTTTGAATCATTGTTTCCAGCAAGTTGAGGAGTATAATGGTGATGCCATCACATTTTGGTGGGTGCTATACATAGACAGATCCTCCTGCAGGCTATACAGTTTTGATCTGAGCGCGAAAGCTGCACCCAAACGGGACTCTGCAGGCACTGCTTTTGACCTTGTTTTTTTTCTTCTTGGGGCTCAGGTTTGCAACTTCCATTGTTATAAGGCAGACATGCAGGGCTGTGCTCGCTGTCATGGGATTGCGTGGCCTTGCTCGCAGCCCATTCAGTTCTCAAACTTAAAGGGTCTGGCACATTTGCGGTTCTTCATCATTTGTTCTGCAGCCATGGCAGATCCGGTTGAGGAATGCGTCTACGACTACATCATCATTGCTGCTGGTGCCACCATGGATACTCTCACGTTGCCACCGCCAGGTAATCCTGGCTGGCATGGACTTCCATGCAGACAGGTAGAGAGGATTGCTCAACGAGACCATATGGTCCTGTATC